CAATTCACTCACGTTGGCCTCCCAAAGGCGCGGGATTACAGGCTGAGCCACTGAGCCCGGCCCTCCAATTTCAATGGTAATTAAATTTTAACTTTTGAGAATTGGACTTTGAGGGATTTTTTTCAGGAACAGATTTCTCGGATAAGATGAAGGTAAAGATTCCAACAGACTCTGGAGTCTGACAGACCAGACACTGACCCTTTCCTGCTGTGTGACTTTGAGAAATTATTTATCTGAGCCTCAGTTTTCTCATGTATTAATCTACGATGAGATATCCCCTGCCACAGAGTGATGGTGAATATTACCTGAGGTTATATATGATGCTCCCCAACTTGGTGTCTGATCCACTGTGAGTGCTCTCACAGCCACCTAAACAGTAGCTAGTAAGAACGCATATTTTTAATGGCATCCAAAAAACCTCCCAGTCTCTAGATAAAACGTCCCTCTAGGTTCTTGGCTGTCTTGTTCCCTGCGTATTTCCTATGCCTAGAACTATGCCTTGCATGTGGTATTTTCTCAATAAATATTTGTTGAATAAATGAATATATAACAATGAATAAAAAATGTTTGAAACCTTACCCTTTTTCCAGGAACTCCTCCCCCACTCTCCTAGGTGAATGTGGCTCTTTCCTTCTCTAAGCTTCTGCCGTAAGCTCCTCCCATAAGTCTGCCTTAATTGACAGCCATTTTCCAAAGAGCCATGTGGATCAGGTTAGAGGGGATAGAAGACATGTTGTAGGAAGTGGAGCTGATAGAACTATTTTTGGAGTCCAGAGAATTTGGTTTCAACCTTTTGCTGCTTATGATTTAGGTGTTCATGTTGCCAGGTGATCCGTTTACTAAAACCATGTTTTAAAATAAAATACCTATCTTGCAGAACTGCAGTTAAAGATGAGAGTAATAATGTGCCTAGTAGTACTTGACGCAGAGTAAGTCGGCAGTTTTCAATCCTACCTGAGTATTCCAAACTCCTGAGGAGCTTTTAAAAACTCTACCCACCTGACTGTTTCCCCCAGATTTTAGTTCAGTTTTGTCTGGGTGAGGCTGGAGCAGCTGCACTTTCATGAAGCGCCAGGCCAGTCTGATGGACGGACAGAGTACAGAGTGAGTCTATAGGATGGTCTCATAAATATGTTCATGGACTTGAATTTTAGCGAGGAATATCTTCTCAACTATATCCTCAGGAGAAGTGCCTTTCTTATGACTCTTCCGTTTTCATCTCTCTCCTTCACTTGGAATATTTTATGAGCTGCATCACCGCCTTTATATTCTCTGTGCCATTTTCATCCTAAAGTAAGTTCTTTCGTCTTTCTGACACTCCAGTCCTTAAGAAATCACCCTAATGCAACACTAGTGTAATCGTGATTTGCAATTAAACACTTTCACAAGCTGACCACATGGCTGGTGGGCGGCGAACCTTGTATTCCAGCTCTATTACCACCTTTACAGACGCGGATGTTACTAAACATCCCTAGCCACTGGCAGGGCACCAGTGCCCCTCAAAGCTGTGATTAACACCTACTCTCATCCAGCAGCAATTGCCTAAACGGGGCCACAGGTACCTGGGAAGTTGACAAATAGCACTAATGAATATGGAATGAACAATGATGTGAGAGCTCTCGCAGGAAGCACGCCTCTCAGTCCCACGATGGGATGATGGGATGGCTTTCAAGAGAGGAAAGCGTTTTATCATATGATGCTAGGGGGAACTTGACTCACAAAGCCTTTTGCAGAAGAGGCAGGGTTAAGTAGAGGTCAGAGGAGGGAGGGGGGATTGAGACCAGGCCCCTCACACATTTTATTGCATCGAATTCTCCAAGCAACCCTGTGAAGTAGTTGATATTACTGCTGTTTGCCAAATTAGGGAATTAAGTAAAGCACAGAGCGATGACATAGCTCACCTAATGCTGTATTTCTGTCAAGTAATGAAGGCCGGATCCAAGCTCCTCCATCAGACAAAAACCCGGGGCTTCTCCCCTGTCACTAAGAATCCCAGCAGGGAGTAATGAGGTGAAGAATTGCACCACTGCTACTCAATAATACGAGTAATTTAATTTCTCCTGGACTCTGTCCGTTAAATGAAAATACTTATTTCTGTGTGCTTATTGTCAGGGTTTTGCAAGAATCATGTGAAAGAATAGATGGTGACTTTGCTTAAGATACACAAATAGCTAAAAAGATACGAGAAACTCTGCTGATGAGAATACAGCTGTCTTCAACCCAGTTCAACACTGCTGTAGAGTAAAACCTTGTGCCAGAAACCAGACGCTTGCCACATCACAAGGACGTTTTAGGGTTTAGTTCATGTTGCGAGTTAACCATTACTTTGCTTTCATCTACCACGGTGATCATGAAAGAAAGAATATTATTCTGCCAGGTGCCAGGTCTCCACCTTCAGGCTGTGTGTGTCTTACTTTCTCTCATCTTTGATAAAGAGTGAGTGCCTCATAAGCCTGTTTCTCGTCTATGTTCCCTGTTTCTCTAAATGTAGCTCAACTCCCCATCAACCAAACTCTGAACCTAGCCATCATGGTGGGTACACCCTCTCTCTATCTTTTGCCATTTTAGTTGTTCAGTTGGTCACCAGTCCAATGGAGTTTATCTCCACCATCCCTTCTCACTCAGACCACTGCAAGAGCTCCCCCAGGGGGTCCTTCTGCCTCCAACCTTGGCCCCTCCCTACAATTCATTCTTCAAGTCACAAAGTGATCCGCACATACATGTTTATTGCTGCACTGTTCACAATAGCAGAAACATGGAACCAACCCTACTTCCCATTGAAAGTGGACTGGATAAAGAAAATGTGGTACATATGCACGATGGAGTATTACACAGCCATAAAGAAGGACAAAACCACAAACTTCACAGCAAATTGGATGGAGTTGGAGACCATCATACTTAGTGATCTATCACAGAAGCAAAGAATTGAATACCACATGTTCTCACTCATGAGTGAGACCTGAACATTAGTCACATTCGCACAAAGGAGGGATTGGCAGTTGCAGGATATTGCCAGGGGAAGGGAAGGCACATTACATCACGAAGGTTCCTGGTCCTGAACCAGGGGAAGTGAGAACCAATTGGAGACCCAAACTTCACCTGCACATAGATTACTTATGTACCTAATCCTGACTTGTTCCCCACATCTCTATAATAAAGTTATTTTAAAAATAAATAGATAAGCCGGGCTTGGTGGCTCAGCCTGTAATCCCACGCCTTTGGGAGGCTGAGGTGAGTGGATTGCCTGAGTCTGCGGGTTCGAGACCCACCTGGGCAACTTGGCAAGACCTCATCTCTACAATAAATCAAAAAATTAGCCGGGCATGGTAGCACACGCCTGTAGTTCCGGCTTCTCGGAAGGCTGAGGCGGAAGGATCACCGGAGCTCAGCAGGTGGAGGCTGCAGTGGCCGGGAGCGGCCACTGCACTCCAGTCTGGGCAACAGAGTGAGACTCCAACTCAACAAAAACAAAAAACAAAAAATAAATAAATAGATAGATAGATAGATAAATGAAATGCTTTCCACATTTCCTATTCAGTATGTTATTTGCTGTAACCTTTTATCATGTTAAGGAAGCTTCCTTTTATTCTTAATTAAATTATGAATATGTGTTAAGTGTTATTACAAATGTCTTCTTTGAAATGATGATATTTTTTCTTTATATATTAATGTGGAGATTTGTATTTATTGATTCTTTCTGAAATTAAACCATCATTATACTGTTGAGAAAAACTCCCTCCAAAATAAAATAAAATGTCAATCAATTTGCCCCTCTTCTGCTTAGTGCCATTTAGTGACTTCCAATTGTATTTTAAATTAATTGCAAACATCTTGGGCTGGCCTCCAAGGCCTGTCTACACCTCCAGCCCCATGGTTTGTCACTACATGCTTCTACCACCCTCCAACCTCAGCGCTGCTCTTTTCTGCCAAAGGACATTTTCAGTTGCTATTTCCTCTTTCTGGATTTCTCTTCTTGCACTGCACAGAGCTGACTTCTCTCAAACTTTCAGGTCTCAATTTGAATATCAATTCCTTAGAAAGATCATTCTTTAAAAAGAAAACTTTATTATATTATAAAGATGTGCGCAGCCGGGCTCGGTGGCTCAGCCTGTCATCCCACGCCTTTGGGAGGCTGAGGTGAGTGGATTGCCTGAGCCTGCGGGTTCAAGACCCGCCTGGGCAGCGAGATCTCATCTCTACGATAAATCAAAAAATCAGGCAGGTGTGGTAGTGCATGCCTGTAATTCCAGCTACTTGGAAGGCTGAGGTGGAAGGATCACTGGAGCCCAGCAGGCGAGGCTACAGTGGCCGGGAGCGGCCACTGCACTCCAGTCTGGGCGACAGAGTGAGACTCCAACTCAAAAAAAAATAAAAAAAGATGTGCACTACAAGTCGGGATTAGGTCCATAAGTGATGTACGTACAGGTGAAACTTGGACCTCCCACTGGTCCTCACTTTCCCTGATTTAGGACCAGGTACCCTTTGTGTTGTTACATGCCGCCCCCAATCCTCCCTCCCCTGGCCATGTCCCTCAACTGCTGATCCCTCCCTTGTGCTGTTGTGATTAATGTTTGGGTCCCACTTAGGAGTGAGAACACATGGTATTTGGTTCTTAATCCCTGATTTGAATCACTGTCATCAACCACTGTGCTCTGTCGTCACGACCTGTTACCTGCATGGCAGGTACCACATTCTGTAGAAGTATGTGGATGTGTTTGGGTGTGTAATACGTAATGTGTCTTCCTTATGAGGACGTAAGCTTCCCAATAGTAAGAAATGCATCCATTCTGTTCACTATCGTATACCCAACACCCCGCCCTGTGCCTGGCAAATAAGAAGTACTCAGTCGAGATTTATCATGTTCACCGTACTGTATGAAATGAGCAATCCCAAGATAAGTTTATTCAAGAGCCCCGTGACTTCTCCACGGACCTCCCACCCCCATCTGAGATTCACCGGTCAGACTAACAAATCCATCCCTCTTCATGGCTTTGTTCCAGGAGCGACTCGTGCTGTCTGTGCTCCCCCGCTTTGTTGTCCTGGAAATGATCAATGACATGACCAACGTGGAAGACGAGCACCTGCAGCACCAGTTCCATAGGATCTACATTCATCGCTACGAGAACGTCAGGTGAGAAACACGACACCCCCGTCCCGGTTCTCCAAGTAACCCAGGTGTGCCTGGCTGCCCTCAACGCGCTGTCATGACTTCTGTCTGCCTGAACGTCAGCAGTTTTCCACATTGGGTTGATTCATTCATGAACTAGTGATCATTGATCAGAGCATTCTACATTTTCATACTGAGGCTGGAGAAGGACGTCACAGCATTCGGTTATATTTGCTGGTTGACTTCCTGCCTGGCTCCTCATAGTAGGCATGTCTGTCTTTGCATTTCACCTGGGAAAGACAAATGCCTTTTAGACTTTGATTAAAAAAATAATCCCAGGGTGCAATCTGGAGCTTTCAGGTGTGATCACATGGCTATCCTTTTTGTGTTTATCATAAGTGCCTTTAAGACAACACAAAACAACCTTACACAATTATAAAGAAATGTGCATATCACTTTTGTTACAACTATAAAATGAAATATTATACCACTGGCCAAAATTTAGCTTTTAGACAAGAGAATTTGTGACTTTTTTGCTTTTCAAATAATTATGAAAAATTAAAAAATGAAAAACCTAACAAAAAATTAACTATAGCTCATTCATTCAGATTTTGATCAATGGTGTATAATACAGTCTGTCTAATTATATATTCAGCATATTGAGTTTCTGCATTTTTGGAATATATTACAACTTCTTTTTAACTGCATTTTTTTATAATGAGTGAGCTTGCAATTAAAAGAAATTTTGGACAAAAAAACCCAAAAAATGTCATTACACTATTTTCTTGAAAACCAACAACACAAAAAAAGGACCACAGCTTTTATTCCTTCGCAAACATATGTTTGGTCAGCCATCCATCCACCCACTCACTCACCCATCCATCTACCCACACACTCCTCCATCCATCCATTCATCCATGACCTCTATGTGCCCAGTACTGCACTGGACAACTGGAATATACTGAAAATCAGAGCTTGGACTCCATAGTGAGGCAGACCGGTTTTAGAATCCCATTTCTGCCTTTTCCTTAAGTGTGGCCTTGGGCCATTTACTTAATTGAATCTCAGGCTCTTTCTCTGTGAAATGAGCATTTTAATAGCCACATTTCAAAGCTTTAGATAGAACTTGTGAGTGAAGACAGACACAAATCACAGGGCATGGAGGGTTAAGCATCTGCTAGGGATTAGGCATACAGGAAGGACCCCAAAAAACTGAAATTATCTTTTGGAGGGTGGGCTCCTTGTACTATAGGCTTCCCCCACTAGATAAGATAAGTGGGCTAGGAACCCATAGGCATCAGAGAACCAGCTAGTGTTGTTGTGAGAGACAGCATTCAGTTTCAGTGAATTCTTTTTTTTTTTTTTGGAGAGTCTTTCAATACGTTTGCCCATTTCATGATAGGTGCTTTTGAGCGCACCTGGGCACACCACGCTGAGCGTCCAGCTGTTTCTGACCAAAAACAACCTGATCCCTGTGCCCTATCCTCCCTATTCTTCCAATCTCACCTCAGGTAACTTTTTTTTGTTTGTTTCCCCAAGAAAAACACCTCAAAGGGAAACATTTTGCTCATGTGGAAGAGGTGAAACCAAAAACAGTAGAAGCACCAAAAGGCATCAAAATTGATGAGTTCAAAAACCATCTTGAGCAGTGTCAAAAGCATCTCGATAGGTGTGTCGGATCAAATGGAGAGGACTGTGAAGGGGACTGAGATTTAACATGTGAGGATACAAACCAGGCTCGGTGGCTCAGCCTGTAATCCCGCGCCTTTGGGAGGCTGAGGTGAGTGGATTGCCTGAGCCCGCAGGTTCGAGACCTGCCTGGGCAGCAAGACCTCATCTCTACAATAAATCAAAAAATCAGCCGGGCATGGTAGCGCGCGCCTGTAATTCCAGTTACTTGGAAGGCTGAGGAGGAAGGATCGCCGGAGCCCTGCAGGTCGAGGCTGTGGTAGCCGGGAGCGGCCACTGCACTCCAGTTTGGGCGACAGAGTGAGACTCCAACTAAAAAAAAAAAAATGTGAGGATACATACACAATTTTTTTATCAATACATTCCAGGATTTATGTGGGGATGTTCCCTCGTTTTATAGGTCATTTCATATTTTCTAGTTGAAGCAAAAGAATCCAGCCCTGGCTGATTTTAAAGAAGTGTGTTGAAACGTTACGTAGTGGATCACAGAGTTATTGGGGAAGAATGGAGAAGCAGGCTGGAGAAATGGGCCAGAATGGAGCGAGACCAGGAGTGAGAGGCATCACCAAACTCAAACCAGAGCCCTAGGCCAGGGAGGAGGCCACTGCCGCTGTTTCGAGCAGTTCACTGCCTGGGCTACCAACCTTGTCCTTCTACTCAGTGTGCCACCTCTGCAATCCTTCCTATAGCCCCCAGACACTGATGCTGTTACTCTTGCTGTCCCCCACCCCCTTTACAAGTTAAAGCCTGGGGCAGGTATGTCTGATTGGCTGAGCCCACTCTTTTTCTAGAAGTTCCTGGGAAGCAAGTATCTGACATATTCAGCTTACACAGTAGAATTGTATTTTCTTCCCTAATATCATAAGATAGAAATTTCCCAAACATAGGGTAAAAGTTCATATATTGACTGCTCTAAAAATGACAAACATACACTCTTTCTTCCCAACATTAGTAGGAGGGAAGGGCCACTTTTCCCACTTACCAACATCTCTAGGTGTTCTATTCCTGACATTCGGGGACACACACTTTAAATCGACGTCCAGCATAGATCACAACTCTTTGGCAGGCAAAGTGGTAGGTCATTCTCAGGGTAGGTCATTTTCAGGGTCTTGTCCAAGAATGGAACTACACTCATTTAGATGCTTCAGTTTGCAAGGCAGCCCTTTGTCAAACAAACAGCAACTCTAAGAAGAGGTGTACCCAGGGTCTAGGAACTGATCCCACAGACCAGAGCTCATCAATACCAACTCTAGAAAGACAGGTGCCTATTAACCATAATACAGTGTGGGGTTCCAGTATTAAGCATGCACAGGATGCCAAGAGACCGCAAAACGAGGGAAACCATAAACGGGAAAGCAGAGGATGGGAAGGAAGGAGGTAGACAGGGAAACATCCCTGGAAGAGATATTGCTCACTGGCCTTCTTTGAAACTGAGTCAGCCAAGACATGAATTCTGAGCAAAGTGATCAGTCAAGAGTGAAGGCAGAGCCTTGGTACATGTCAAGAGCCATAGTTCATTTTCCATCTTCCTTCCCTGGTGGCAAAGTGGTTTGACAATAAAGTCCGGTCCAGAAAGATCCAAAGCAGAAGTTGGGTTGAATATTTTGGAAGAAGATAAATAAATAAATAAATAAATAAATAAATAAATAAATATTATATATATAAATATATACAACCAGCCCCGGCAACTCAGCAAGATCTCATCTCTACAATAAATCTAAAAAATTAGCCGGGTGTGGTAGCACACGCCTGTAGTTCCGGCTACTTGGAAGGCTGAGGCAGGAGGATCACTGGAGCCCAGCAGATCGAGGCTGCGGTGGCTGTGAGGGTACCACGGCACTCCAGCCAGGGTGACGGAGTGAAACTCCAACTCAAAAAATAACTAAATAAATATAATACACACACACACACAAATCGTTAACAGAGATAAAACTATACTGGCATATTATGAAAGTGCCTGTCACCATAGACAAAAAAGGAAGCAAAACCAAAAAAAAAAAATGATGACCTTTAAAAAGAAAAAAATGGAGGGGGGTTGGTTAAACAAGCCTGCACACCCACACCAACATTCTTGGGAGCCTAGCGGATCGACGCTGGGGTGACCGGCAACCCAGCCTGGGTGACAGAGACTCCAACTCAATAAATAAATAAATAAATAAATACGAATCGTATACAGAGATAAAACTATATTGACATATGATGAAACTACCTGCCACCATAGAGAAAAAGGAAGCCTAAAAAAAAGACCTTTAAAAAGAAAAAAATGGGGGGGTGGTTAAACAAGCTTGTACACGCACACCAACATACTTAGGAGCCTTAAGTTCAATTAATGACAGATATGACTCTCTCCTGCACCACACCTTATGTCCAGTGCTCCCTGTAGTCCTGAGCAGCTAAAGTTGCTTCTGCCCCCTCCAGCCCCGCCCATTTATTTTATTTTATTTTTCAAGAGGTAGGTATTTCAGTTTAATGTGATGATCAATCACCAAAAAATATGGAACTCCTTTTCACAGTTATTTGTTTAACAAGCAATTATTGAGTGCTTCTTTGTGTCTAACACTGTGGCGTCCTAAAGAATTCAACAGTAAACAAAATATACCAAACTCCTTGGCCTCATGGAACCTATATTTTATTATTAAGGTACCTTTGTGGCTTATTGAAGGTCACATGCGTCAACAAGCAAGTGTCTCAAGAAAACTTTCCGCATTGAATTTACACAGCGATATTCATCGAATACCATTTGATATTTTGACCACTCATATTAGCCAAGGGATTTGTAACTTTCTAGGGCAAAATTGGATTCATATGTGACACCGCCCATTTATTTTAAAACATAGAACTGAGTTCTTATGTGGGAGGCCCTCCTCTAGCAGTTCGTGCCACACTAAATTACAGTCTTGTTCCTCGCCCACGTGACTCCGTGTCCTGGGTGATGGGAGCCCTTTCTAGGGGGAGAAAAGTTGACACAGAAACCCACACCCTCACCCCCTGCTCCCCAGGCTAGTCTCGGAGCATAGGGATCAGATGCCCAAGCTCTGGAGAGATCGAACTCAACCAGGGGCAGCCTCTCCTGCACACAGCAAGGCTGCTAGGTGTGAAGAGACCAGAGACGGAAGGAGGAAGTTTGTCCTTAGCTCCAGTCAGAGAACAAAGTTGATCGGCTGCTCTGTCCCCTTCCTCTGCCCCAAAGCAAACCCACTGTGGTGGTGGGCACATTTTTTAAATCATTTCCAATCCTGTCATTCTCTTCAAGATAACCCACCTGGTCCATTCTTTCTTCCCCATTGTTTGTTATTGTTGCTTGTTATTTTGATGGTCCTTTCCTTAAAAATTGC